GACATGAAGAGTGGAGGAGGAGGTGAGTGGACATGAGGAGTGGAGGAGGAGGTGAGTGGACATGAGGAGTGGAGGAGGAGGTGAGTGGACATGAGGAGTGGAGGAGGAGGTGAGTGGACATGAGGAGTGGAGGAGGCGGTGAGTGGACATGAGGAGTGGAGGAGGAGGTGAGTGGACATGAGGAGTGGAGGAGGAGGTGAGTGGACATGAGGAGTGGAGGAGGAGGTGAGTGGACATGAAGAGTGGAGGAGGAGGTGAGTGGACATGAGGAGTGGAGGAGGAGGTGAGTGGACATGAAGAGTGGAGGAGGAGGTGAGTGGACATGAGGAGTGGAAGAGGAGGTGAGTGGACATGAGGAGTGGAGGAGGAGGTGAGTGGACATGAGGAGTGGAGGAGGAGGTGAGTGGACATGAGGAGTGGAGGAGGAGGTGAGTGCACATGAGGAGTGGAGGAGGAGGTGAGTGGACATGAGGAGTGGAGGAGGAGGTGAGTGGACATGAGGAGTGGAGGAGGAGGTGAGTGGACATGAGGAGTGGAGGAGGAGGTGAGTGGACATGAGGAGTGGAGGAGGAGGTGAGTGGACATGAGGAGTGGAGGAGGAGGTGAGTGGACATGAAGAGTGGAGGAGGAGGTGAGTGGACATGAGGAGTGGAGGAGGAGGTGAGTGGACATGAGGAGTGGAGGAGGAGGTGAGTGGACATGAGGAGTGGAGGAGGAGGTGAGTGGACATGAGGAGTGGAGGAGGAGGTGAGTGGACATGAGGAGTGGAGGAGGAGGTGAGTGGACATGAGGAGTGGAGGAGGAGGTGAGTGGACATGAGGAGTGGAGGAGGAGGTGAGTGGACATGAGGAGTGGAGGAGGAGGTGAGTGGACATGAGGAGTGGAGGAGGAGGTGAGTGGACATGAGGAGTGGAGGAGGAGGTGAGTGGACATGAGGAGTGGAGGAGGAGGTGAGTGGACATGAGGAGTGGAGGAGGAGGTGAGTGGACATGAGGAGTGGAGGAGGAGGTGAGTGGACATGAGGAGTGGAGGAGGAGGTGAGTGGACATGAGGAGTGGAGGAGGAGGTGAGTGGACATGAGGAGTGGAGGAGGAGGTGAGTGGACATGAGGAGTGGAGGAGGAGGTGAGTGGACATGAGGAGTGGAGGAGGAGGTGAGTGGACATGAGGAGTGGAGGAGGAGGTGAGTGGACATGAGGAGTGGAGGAGGAAGTGAGTGGACATGAGGAGTGGAGGAGGAGGTGAGTGGACATGAGGAGTGGAGGAGGAGGTGAGTGGACATGAGGAGTGGAGGAGGAGGTGAGTGGACATGAGGGGCAGAGGCAGTGCACAAAGATATTAAAATAATATCTGCAGTAGATGTATGTATGCGCTGGTAAGGATGGTGGCAGGAGATACAGGAAGAAATACTTGCAATACCAACCTCAACAAAAGGAAAGAAAAACAATATTTCAATTTCCAAATGAAATCAAGATAGACATTGCACAGGTAATAAAGAGAAACTGTCTGTAAATCTGCTGTAAACATCAGGTATTTATATTGTTTTATTTATATTCTTGTTTATGTCTTACCTCAGATGGTGAAATTAACTATAAAATATGAAACAATTGGCTTGGTCTCATACTAAGAGAAACTTAAAACAGACAGGTAGATTTGCAGAAATATGAGTGTAAATAAAATAGGAACACTTTCCCAAAGTGTTATCATTTCATTCTCTTAGTTGAATAGGTATCTGATTTTCAGGGTTTAATTTTGTGTGTATATGTGTGTGTGTGTGTGTGTGTGTGTGTGTGTGTGTGTGTGTGTGTGTGTAAGTTTGCATGTAGCTTTGGTATATCTTCTAAAACTTGAATATTAGTTTAGAAACATTAGCAGTGAACCACTACTTTAATGCCTTTAGAATAGTAATCCAGTCAAGAAACGCAAACAACTTTGTTCCATTTTTAACACTAACACGAGGCCAAAGAACTTCATTCACAGTGGCTAGCGTGAACAACATCATTATAATGTTTGCACACCAAAAGGAACACTAACAATCAAGGGTGTCAATATAAAATTGAGTTTAGCTCCCTCTTGGAAGGCTGACACAACCTTCTGTCTTTTTGATGGCATTGAAGTTTTCGATCACAAGCATGTTTATTCATCTTCAAATGCAAGTGTCAAGCTGGAGTCACACCAGATCTTGAGCACAGACATCTTCAGTTGCTAAGAGATCAAGGCAAACACAGTCACTTCTTTCTTTCCTCACTCAGTCAGACAGGCCCATAACTCTAACACAGAATGTCTCCTAAAGTCATCACTGTGCAGTCCGTGAGTAATGGTCTGACTCACCAATGTGGGTTCTTTTTCTTTTTCTTTTCCCTCTCATCCAAGTCTTTGATGATTTTTAGATACGTTCCAAAACATCATCATCTTCCCCATTCTTCTACCATCTCCAAACCCTCCCATGTCTCCCTTCTCTCTCTCTCTCTCTCTCTCTCTCTCTCTCTCTCTCTCTCTCTCTCTCTCTCTCTCTCTCTCTCTCTCTCTCTCTCCTCCCTCCCTCCCTCATAATCATGGTCTTATTTTCTTTAATTATCACTGTTTTGCACACACATAAATAAGCTCATACATATATAAATGCATAATAACATATTTTAGGTAATGTCTTCTTTCCCAACTGAGCAACAAGATTCTGAGAATGCCATTGACTCTTGGTGCTTCATGCTCTCTACATGTCCTCTGGCATACTCAGAGCCTTAAGACATGAGCAGCTTCCTGTCAGATCAGAGGTAAGATAAAGGGAGCCAGCATGTCCAATGGCTCTGTGTGCTATCACTAATGTTTTGCTGTATCTTCAAAGTTGACAATGTCAAACATATCTCACAGTCATCTCATTAGCCAAAGGACCATGTGAGAGCATCCTGTGCTGACCACCCAGTTTCACTCACCTGTCATGCATCTCCCTCCACAGGGACCCCTGACCATCCTTCCCTCACTAAGAGCTTTCCAGTGAGACTTCTTCCTCTCTCTAAAAAATGGAGGGACGCACACTTCACTTCATGCCCAACAGCCTAAGAATTTGGTTCCCAACACGGATGCCCTGATTTGCTTCAGTAGAAAAGTCTCCCGTTTCCCCTGGGTGTCTTTTTTTTTTTATTAACACCAAACCAAGAAGGGAAATCTAGAGGAGAAAGCTTCACTCTCCAAGCATTTCTGCAATGGCTGATGGACCTTAAAGAACCGTCCAGAATAAACTAATGACACTAATATGTTCTATGTCTGGGCTGAAGGGACACAACAGAGGGATAGTGAATCTGACACTTTCCTGCCTCCTGCCTAAACTCGCCTTGCTTTGCAAACGCCTTCACTGTATGCCAATGCTCAGATATCTAGTGTCTTAAACCCGGCGCTAGGACCCCGACCTGAGGGTACAGCACACATCTGAGGCACAGTGTTCTCCACAGGCAGTTTGTCCACGTGTAAGTTCTATTTCCATCATTATCCCTCCATCTTTCCAGCTCCAGGTTACCTGGAGACTCTGGATAGTAATGCCATCAAATGTAGGCGCAGAGTCACCAGCTGTGTCCTTAGGTAAACCTCACCTCCTGGATGCAGATCAGGTTCTTCTGCCCTAGGTTCTCTACCCCCTGCTGGGCCACTCTATCTATGGACCTGCAATGATCCTACGGCCAGAATCAGAGATGGGCACAGGCGGAGAGGGAGAGGCCTGTGAGAGACACTGGACTGTTTGGGTCCAAGCCACCTTCTCCAAGACCTTCTGGAACTCCAAAGAAAGAAAGGTCTTCTTGTAAGTCAATCAACATTAACAGGTCATACATGCATACTCAACACAGAAAACACTAAGAGATACAAGAGAAAGAGACGCACTTGCCTAGCATTTGTGCTATGGACTGACATGGTGTGGATGGAATAAACAGCAAAGAAGGGTGGTGGGAACCCAAGCACTCAGCAGAATCTACACACCCTCACCCCTCCCAAGGAGGCAGACCTCAGAGCCCCACAGAATGGAGGCTTCCTGATTACACATTCCCCGCTCCCCACCCTGAGATTCTGGTTTGGCAGCCCTCAAGAAGATCAGCACTTCATCCCTTTCTATATGATACGCAGGCTCGGCTAAAGCCTCTGTTCTAGACGCTTTCAGTTTCCAGGGTTCAACCTTCCCATTATTTTATTGCGGAAGCCACTAAAGTGTTTAGTATTTGTTCACTGTGAGGTGCCAGGACTTGGTCTCTCTCTTCCTCTTTATGGTCCTTTTCTCCCTATCCATCACGACGTCCACAATGATAAACACTGGTCATTTCACCAGAAACAGAATCTGAGGGTACCACAGCAGGTGTCATGAGATGTGTAGCAAGCACAAGCACAAGGTCCACCTCTCACTGAAAGTTAAAATTCAATATAATGATGTAAATTTTGAATGCAGAAGAGTCCCTGTATACAACCACAGGCTCTGGTGCCCAAGCACTCAACTAAACAAGTCTGTCCTGACTGCTCAGCAAATCTTCCTAGTTGGAATGGTGTGACCTGGGGCTCCCACTATCTTTTTTAACATCCCACTTCATCTATTACTGTCAGTCAACAAACAAAAATAGATCTGTGTATCATAATCCTTTGAGTGGACATATACAAATGATATCAGCTAATAGGAAGAAGGTGATTAATTAATGGGCAGATTGCCTTCTGTGTACCTTATGTGTTCAACTTATCTAGTCTCTCAAAAATCCAAGGAGACGGGTATCTTTCCTACTATACAGGTGGGGAAACTGAGGCACAGAAAGACTGAATGACTTGCCCCGGGCTCACAGAGATGGTAGGTGGCATTGCTAGATACAAACCCAGCTCCAGTGTATACTCTGAAACACTAAAGTTCGGATTAGCTTTGCTGGGTCATTTCCTAGCCCTGCCCATGAGTTCACTAATCGGCAAGCTGCCGAGGCAAATGTTTTCATTTCAGGGAAATTCCCTAATTAAATCCCCTTGAGAAATTTTAAGGCTGACCTTGGAAAACAGCTCAACCGGCGCGGCCACAGCACTCCAGTCTTTTAAGTACTGCTCCCAGGACCAGGTTTCCCCTGTAGTCACAGAAGGTTCTAGAAGAGAAAATACAACACTTTTCCTGAAGCAATTCTTGATGGAATAAAAACAGGATAAAAACGTAACTGAAGGTAATCTCAAACAGTAGGCTGCTTAAGTTGGTGATCAAAAGAGCCACTAGTTAGGACATGGCCACTTATGTCCTGAACCTGTCTAGGAACCTTCCCTCATCCATGGCTCCACACTAAGCTTTCTGTGTCAGGAGTCAAGCTCATGAACACACCTCAACTAGGTGCCTCCTGTAACTTGCAGTTGGCATCTCAAAGACGCCAGCAGAGACAGCAAAGGGATGCCGTCGACTTCCAAGTCAATGGCCTGACGCCTTTGAACCCGCCCCTTTCACCTCCATGACGCCTTTGGTGGGTGTCAGTTGGCATAAGCCTCAGAAGGCAGCCTGGCAAACGTGGCCCTACTTGCCAACAGTCATGATGGGCTTCTACTTGATGTGGCCGTTCTTCTAGGAGCTTGTCTTAATGGGCTCACAGTAGACTACCCAGGGGACAAGACACAGGACTTCGGTTACTAGTCCACAAAGCAATGAAACACTAGAAATAAATTAAATGTCCATCAAGGAGTTAATTCAATGTTTTATACAGACATGCCACGTATGCTGTGCAGAGGTCACGCAAACAATACACTAAGGAAGGGAAGAGAGTTTAGAAAACAAAACTCCTTTTTTGATAAATATGTGGTAGATTAAAAGTGAGATGAGTCGGGCGGCGGTGGCGCACACCTTTAATCCCAGCACTCAGGAGGCAGAGCCAGGTGGATCTCTGTGAGTTTGAGGCCAGCCTGGGCTACCAAGTGAGTTCCTGGAAATGTACAAAGCTACACAGAGAAACCCTGTCTCGAAAAAAAAAAAAAAAAAAGTGAGATGAAAACTATGGAAGTCATATTTCACACGAAGTCATCTTTTGGTACAAGGAACATAAGTAATTTGTTTTCCAATCTTTCTCCTGCTTTGATTTTTCTGCTTTCCCAATTTTGCAGATTGATATTTGGTCGCTGAAATAAAAAAATTACCATTTTTAAATAATGAAAATTAGAAAAAAAATAACGGCTTTAAAATTACCACAGGTGCCTCAGCAAAGTCTCCTCTGGAATTAACCAACAAAGCAGCTCTGCACTAATAAAAGCTGAAGGTAATAGTATGCACCAACAGAAAGGCAAGGACATAAAAGGGAATTAACAGGGGAGGAAGGTTAAATTACATACACACATACACATGATAGAGATAGAGATAGAGACAGAGATGTAGATAGATATGATTCAGAGATTATCAAATCCTGTGTTTAATTTAATGAAATCTTTTGATAATTAAATGTGTCATTAAGAAACTTAAAGAGACTAAGGGTATATGTGACCTTTCATATTCACATTTTTGCTATGGGAGACATAAAATAAGGTGAGCATAAAAAGGCAAATATGGTATGATCTCACTTATGTGTGGAGTCTAAACAAAATCAACCTCAGAATGAAAGAGAATACAGATGGTAACCAGAGCTGGAGAACAGGGAATGGAGAAAGGGGACACGCTTGTCAAAGGGTGTAGTTTCAGTTACATAGAAGGAGTGAGTTTTAGGAGTTATCAAATAACATGGTGACCACGGTTAATATACTGCATACTTCAAAGCTGCTAAAAAAAAAAACACACAGAGAAATTCTCTGTGTTCTCACCTTTAAAAAAAATAACTATGTAAGGTGATAGATATGCTAATTATCTTCCTTTAGTCTTTCCACAATATCAACAGACATCAAAACAGCCCATTTAGGCCAGGGAGAACACTCAGTCGAAAAGCGAAAAGCGCTTGTCTTGCAAGCATGCAGACCTGAGTTTGATTCCCAGCATCCCTTAAAAAAGTCCCTATAGACCCACTGGCCAGGAGGCAGAGAAAGTCAGTTTCCTGAGGCTTGCTACAGAGCATATCTAGCCAAACAGTGGTCTCTGGGTTCAGTAAAAGTCCCTGTCTCAAAAGAGAAGATACCGGGCAATTGAGAAAGACAATCAAACTTGACCTCTAGCCTCCACACACAGATACACCCATATGCACATGCATTCAGATGAGCACATGTGTATATGTAAAAAAATTATATTTCTACCCTGATAAATAAAGGCGACTGACAATTAAAAATGAAGCAGAAAAATAAACATATAAGGTATATATGCGTGTGTATATGTGTGCATGTGTGTATCACTCATCTAATAACATATTTATAAAATACCTTCTATGTGCTAGGCACTACACCCGTGTGCCAACAAATGCAAACATAAATAGAAAAGAAATTGGAAAAAAACAGCAAAATATTAACAGCAGTTTATATGGCAGTGCGATTAATGTAAATACATATTCCCTATTGCATTTTCTATAGTCAAAATATTCTACAAGGATTATTATTTTAACACACACACACACACACACACACACACACACAAATACACTTGGAGATACTGATCTAAAAGGGCTGAGTATTAATGTCCCAGAAGAAGGTGCAGATGGTAGACCGGTCAGAACTACATCCCCACTGGCAGTGACAGAAAGAAAGGCTCCTCCTCCTCCACGCCCTGCATCTGAAATCTTCCAGGACAATAAGGCAACCTGTTAGATCCACCACCAGCAACCTCAAGACACGGTGAAAGGAATATTCACGCAGACTTTTAATATTGAAATTCAAATTCTTTGTCAGCCTCCTATTCTACAAAGAGCAGCAAGGTCTAAAGTGGGACCCTCTGCCTGGTCCAGGAGATGAAAAATACATAATATGCATTATTTCCCTTTAGTACTCAATGTACCTCGCTGACAACAGAGGGAAATCATTTAAATTTAGGCAACACTACTTATGCCTAAAACATGCACCAAAAGCATGGATGTTAACATCCTCTATCAGCCCCAGCATTAGCTTGTTGCTGCTGAGAAACACACTGCTGGAGTGTAAGAAAGCAGTTTAATCATCAAAGGAAACTGGCGGAGTTGTGACTGGTGGATTTTCTAGTTCTTCTGAAATACCAAGCCATCCTAATGGGAGCCCATCTAGGAGCCTGTAGCTTCTTGGCCCACGATGTTGCTAAAAGCTTTGTGGTTGCTTCAGTATCTCCCAACATGAGATTTTTTTCATTTGCTTCCCAGAGAAAGCGATGTGACAAACCCTGATGATGTTCCAGGAAGATTATTCAACTTCCCTGTTTTCACACAAGCATTTTACTGCCTTACAATTATGTGCTTTACAAAAAAAAAAAATACAGCAGAACTGATGCTAAAGCAAATATAGATATCTCATTCTCTGCAACAGCTGGGTTCTTAAAAAGACTCTGTGTAATTTCTCAATTTAATCATATTTCTGATTGTCATACATTATCATTTCGCCCAAAGTAAATCGTATCTAAGACTTTCTATTATGATTATATAAGTGTGCAGAGAACCTTTTAACAATCATCATAAAAAGAATACATAAAATCAGACAACAGAAACTTCCAATGAATTAAATATTTTAGTAGAGCAAGAGGATTACTCAGCAATATGGCACCTTCAAGGGACATGGAATGCACAATGGCTTGCCAGCACCACAGCCTGGGGACAGGCCCTCTCCCACCACCTGCTCCCTCTCTGTCTCCCATCACATGGTTTCTCTAGTTCCTGCAAGACTTACATTAGCTGGAACTGAACAGTGTATTTACTTTGTTAATTGTTTGAGGCAGGCAGGGTCTCACTATGTAGCCCAAGCAGGCCTGAAATTCGGATCCCCCTGCTTCTGCTTCTGCAGTGTGAGAATTACTGAGAGGCACCAGCTGAGTTTGTCTACTTTGAGTTGGAACACAAGGCCCTGAGAAGACAGCATGTCCTTGGCTTTGCTCTTCCCCATCTTGCAAGCTGTTATCTTGCCTGATCATAAATGCTTGTCTGATGACTTAAAGGCAAAGGCAGACCTAATACCACTTTGGGCCTTAAAAATGTATTCAAGAGCTTGGTGGCGGCACACGCCTGTGATCCTAGTACTTGGGAAATGGGGGCAAGAGACTTAGAGGAGTCTAAGGCCAAACCCAGCTGCAGAGCAAGTTCTAGGCTAGCCTGGACTACATGTGACTCCGCCTCATTAAAAAAAAAAACAAGCAAGCAAAAAAATTATTCATGGATATCTGACCAACTCATTTTTCTTAACTATCCTGAATAGAAAGAACCAATAATTACACACACTGCTTCAGTGTATCTTATTTTTTTATGCAATTCTCTGAACCATTCTATAAACAAAGCACTTGTTTTATAGAACATTAGATAGACATATAGATTTGCAAATCAGACATACAGATTTGAAAATCCTAAATTTCATTTTTCACTCCACAGACTGGCTATAGTGAACTATTCTAATTGTTAGCTTTCTGATAAATATTGATGTAGAAAATATCTTTGTATACTATCTGTCACTTCTTAATATACATTTTAGTCTATGCTAGGTACTGAATTATGTAGCTGTAGCACAGATATGACATGTGTGTGTACACAAGTGTACATGTGATCATATATATATATATATATATATATATATATATATATACACTTCTTTCCATTCATATTGTATATATGTGTGTATGTTAGAGAGAGAGAGAGAGAGAGAGAGAGAGAGAGAGAGAGAGAGAGAGAGAGAGACAGACAGACAGACAGACACACACACACACACACACACACACACACACACACACACACAGAATGGGTAGGGAAGTGGGGAGAAACAGGTCCTGGCATGTTACTGAGGCTGGATTCCTGGGTTTAAGAGTTCTCACCTCTGCCTGCTGAGTAGCAGGACTACGGACTTCGCCATGCCACACTCAGCTTCCACACTGAATGTTAGATCAGTAACTCAACTCTGGAGTTATACTGATGGATAGGGAAGTCACCCAGCTGCAGAAGGTTTGACATAAACTGTTCCTAGACCTACCACACCCATTGCACAGGACTGTCTCACTTTACCATATGCAGTCAAGACATCACAGAAATGCACACCC